TTCTTCTACAGTGGATTTAGTTTATTTTTTTAATTTTATTTATTTATTTATTTATTTATTTTTAGCCAAGAGTAGTCACACATTATCTATGATCCCAGCACTCTCGGTAACTGAGGCAGAATGATCACAAGTTCAAGACCCAGTTGGGCAACTTAGCATGACTGTTTCAAAATTAAAAAAAAAAAAAAAATTAAAGGGAGGGGATGTAGCTCACTGGGAAAGCCCTGGTTCAATCCCCAATGCCATAAAGATAAATAAATAAAAGAATTCCAAAACTTTACATTTAAAATTTTGATCCACTAGAATAAAATTTCAAAATATTTATTCTAGTCTAACACATGAAGTTAGAAACTAACAAGGTTCAGTTTACCAAACGACAGATTCTGAAGCAGATTGCATGTAGGATGAGCTTGCTGCTCCATGCCTCTTAGAGAGTAAAGAAAACAAAATTGAGCCAAAAAGGATGAATGGAAAACAGTGTCAACAAAACTGTCAGCCAGTTCTATGCTTTCTGGACCTGGAATCATGCTTTAGAATTTTCTTAAACAGAGAGGAAGAGAGGGGGCATTTATACCCCAGGATAAAGTAGGCATTAGATATGAGCAATCCCTGGGATACAGTTTTGGACAAAGCAGCTTCCTTTGGCTGAGAACAATTGTTTTGTTTTGTTTTGTTTTGTTTTGTAACAGGGATCAAACTGAGGACCTTGCACTTGCCAAGCAGACATTTATGCCACTGAGCTATTCCCCCAGCGAGAGAACAGCTCTTGAAGAGGGACTCACCCGGCAACAGTACTGACCTCCAATAGTACTGATCCCAGAAGAAATCAGTAGGTTGATCCTGAACAGGGCCTATGGGGTGGCAGGCCACGGTGTCTGCCATACTGTCTCTTTAATAATGCTCACTGACTAATGCGTCTCTGTGCCACTTTTATTCTGTACCAAATTCCATATGCATTTGGGTCCAGCCCTAGACGTCTCCATCTATTTGCTCATTTGTCACTAGTATACTGTACTGTGTTAAAAAGTGCAATTTTGTTAAAATATGCTTTAATATTTATTATACTTTTATCTTTAATATTTCATATACTTGTCCCTTCTCTTTAATTTCAGGTTTTTCCTGGTCATTTTTGCTGGCTTATTTTTCTGTATAAAGTCTTAGGTTATCTTGTTACTTAAATGAAGAAAGTGTGAATGGATTAAATTTATAGATTTATCAGAAAAGAAAAGGTACTTTTTATGATGTCATCATCTCTAAGAATTCGCTTTGACTTTCTATTTGTTCACTTATCTTTTGTGATATTCAGTTGCGTTCTATGTTTTTCTTTAGATAAGTATGCATCTTCTGTTGAGTTCCTAACGGATATTTTATCTCCTTGAGAGTTTCGTGAGTGGGAAATTGTCAATATATTGCTAACTCATTATTTGTATATATGACAGTAAATTATTTCTGTATATTAATCTTGAACAGAATCACCTTACTGTATTTTTACTGTTGATTATAGTTTTTTTTAAATTTATTATCTTATAGTTGCTGAGTATACAATTATGTCACTTAAGGTAATAATATCCTTATCTCTTTTTTTATAATTTGGGGGGTGAGACAGGGTCACACTATGTAGTTCAGACTATCCTCAAATTTGTAATGATCCTTCTGCCTCAGCCTCCCGAGTTCTGATATTATAGGTGTGTGCTCCCATACTTGGTTTCTTTTCTAATTATCAAGCCTCTACTTTTTAAATTTTGCTTCAATTAGGCATAAGATCTTGTTATGAGACAGTCTTCCACTGTGTACTCCAGGGCAGCCTTCAGCCTGTTATGGTACCTGTAGAGCGGCCTTGGACTTGTGACTTTCCTGTCAGCTTCCTGTGCCCTGGGATTACAGGTGTGCACCACCACGCCTGGAAAATCCAAGATATTTTAAAACACTAAAACTATGTGATAGCTAATCTTGATTGGTTAATTTGGTTGGACTGAGAAACGCCCAGGAAATGAGTAAAGCAGATTTCTAGGTGTGTCTTTGGTTGTTCCCAGCAACAACTGCATCATGAGGGCTCCAATGTCATCAGTGAGTTCATTCATTGATAAGATTATAATTGATGGCATGATTTGGAGGTGATGAAAATAGGAAGTGGGGCCTGGATGGAGGAACTGGATCAAGGGTGTGGTTAGAATTGAGGACCATATCTGGTCTATGGCCCCTTCCTCTTGTTCTGTTTCCTCTTGTTCCCTTATGAAGAAAGAAGCTCCCACCACCCTGTCCTACTATGTCATGTCTACCTTGCCAGCTGTGGAATGAAACCTCTGACACTGAAATCTTTTCTCCTTTCAGTTGTTTATGTCAGGCTTTTATCCCGGCAATGGAAACATGACCAATATAAATCCTAAAACATGATTCACAATAAGCTGTTTTACAGCTGTGGTTACCACATAGTTTTATAATTATATGATTATAATCCTCTTAGTAGAAGTCTGTATCACTAAATTATGACCTTCCTTGAGGGCAGGAACCATTATTCCCCTTTATGTCTCCAACAGTTAGCTTAGTTTGTTGGATATAAATGTTTGTTGATAATTTAAACAAAAAACCAATAACCAAACAATAAATTAAAAAAACTACTATTTAAAAGTGTCTGCTAGCATCATCTGGCATTAATGTTAGCTACTCTATTTCTCTTAAAAATTTTGAGGTTCTTGTATATAATATGATTTTTTTTTTTTTTACGTTGGAGCATCTTGTAATCTCAGTCTAGTTCTCAATTCTGTCAGATAAGTACCTGCTCCAGATACCAAACATCTTTCCTCTGTCAGCAAACACCATCTGCTCATGTTTAAGTGAAGTGTGCCCCTTGGTTTTCAGTGCTCAGGAAACCTGCAAAGTTGAAGACTAGGAGCTCCAGTGGAAGGCAGAAATAATGTGTATCCTTCCAGATACAGGGTAGCACAGCGTGAAGGGGACTGAAATCCTTCTGACCAGCTGCGATCTCTGGTTTCTGTTATTCCCAACCTTCTTTGGAAAAAAAAGGAATAAAAATAAAATTTGCTCTACTTTGAGATCTTTTGAATTTTTAGTGATTCAAAACATTCTCAATGAATCCACCATGATGTGCAACTAAGAATGGTTTTTTAAAAATTATGCTACCTCAACTGAAAGGAATGTTATGCCACCACTAAAATGTAATGATGATGATTATGTAATAATTCATGAAAATAGCACTTTTCGACAGCATTAAGTTAAAACACACACACACACACACACACACACACACACACACACACACTCCACCAGTGACTGGAGATATCATTCTATGATAGAGTGGTTACCTAGCACACTCAAAGCCCTGAGTTCAATCGCTGGAAACATGTGAAAACAAAACACAACAATACAAATATACAAAGATGAGAAAGACCAAGACAGAGAGCAAAGGGGAGAGAAACAGAAAAAATAAATTATATGTATTAGGAAGATGTAAGAAACCAAAATATTTATCCTAAATAGTTAATTAAAAGTTTCTTGAGTTGAAAACAAAACAAATGACAAAAAAAAAAAAAAAAAAGAACACCAGAGGGAATTGCTTTTCCTTTCCAGAGAATCACAAAGGTTTCTTACTCTATCCCTCACCCTTTTCCATAAAGAAAAGATGGACATTCTTCTTTGTAGCACTTGCTTACCTGCTGAGAGGTCCCAGTGCCAGACAATCCTGGAAATAGACTTCCTTCTCATAAATTTATTTTCGCACTTTTACTATCGCTCAAGCCTGGTGATTTCCTTTCTTCTCTTGTCTCTCTATAATTTATTATTCTTTGCTAAAATCATTTTTTTTCAGTACCAGGGTTTGAACCTGAGGCCTTCACACTGAGTTACACCCTCATTCTTTTTATTATTTTTTCATTTAGAGGCAGGGTCTCACTAAGCCACTAAACTGCCCAAGCTGGCCTCCAATTTGTGGTCCTCTTGCCTCAGCCTCCCCGACTACTGGGATTATAGGCATGCGCCACCATGCTTGGCTCTGTTAAAATACTATTTAAAGCAAACTCGTGAAACACTGCCTAAAGTCATTTTTCTCTGATTTGATGTAAACAGCAAGACTTAAAAACTTGCTCACTTTTTTCTTGTTAATCTGCCTTTAAGTCTTCCAAGTACAAATTTATAGATTGAAGAAAATTATAATTTTTCCCCATCAGTGGTGGGATTGATACAATTAAAAACTGCTGCAGTTTTTTGAGGATCCTCCAAAGGTGGAGATTTCTAATGCGAGAGGATCTCTAAGGAGCACCCTCAGAATTGTATTTGTGGGGATGTAATGAAGCAAACACTGGTGGAGGAAACTCTGGACTTCAGTCCAGTTCCACTCACCACCCCTTGGAGAAGCTGGACTGCCAGAGGGAAGTAGGGTTGATTGACAGTGAGGCAGCCGGTGGGCAGCTTTCTCTGGGGGACCTTGTAAAGGGGAGGCTAATGGGAAAAGCTACAGTGTCCACCACTACAGCTGGTCTGAAGCCTTTCCATTACATTCATTATCTGCATCTTCCACCACGCATAGTAGAGTCTCCTCACGTTTTGGGCTCAGTAATTCTTTTAAGTGAGATGACCCAGATTTCTTTGTCCTAGGGGCCTGCAGTCCTGCTCAACTTGCTAGTTATAGGCTCTGGCTCCTTCAAAGGAATACCAAGTAAATCACGTGGAGTCCAATATATTCTTTCTGTCCCCATTCTATAACAATAGTCTCGGCCAGATGTGGGGGTCAGTTATCCCTTCAAACTGTCATTAGCATGGGTTCTTGCTTTAGCGATCATGAAATTAAAACTGAAGCAGCAGTAAAAATTGATAGGCAAAACTGGAAAGTAAGAGAAAATAAAGTGGAACATAATTCTGATAAAGATTGAGTCTGTCCCCTAACAAAGGGAAGTAAGGGAAAGTAGCTTCACTTTAAAAAACCGAAGGGACATGGATATGGAGAGATAAATCAGATTGGTCTGTTCACAAAAGAACCCACTCACCTTCCCACGGTTTTCCCATCTCTGAAGCCTAGTGCTTTTCTTTCCTTTCCGATCACCTCTGTAATTTATTGTTCATTGCTAAAATACTGCATTTTATGGAGTGTGGAGGGCTGAGATCCAGTCCATCATTATCTCAGTCCTGGTTTTGCAGCTCTAGAGGAATCTTTATGGTTTGAGGGGTGATCTGGGTCCTATGAAATGATTGTCTTTCTGTCAGATTCAGTCATATGACTCTCTGCTTTTCCTGGAGCCCAGATGACAGTGGCTAAAGACTTCTAGGTGTCACTCCAAAGACAGGTCTATAACTGGATATTATGAATGCTGGCAGTCAGATACCTTATAAATCCTGAGGCTTTCTTTAGTTACTCTATCTTGCTGTTTTCCGTCCTGAAGAAGGAAGAAACAAGTTAGGTAAATTTAGTGCCAGTAAATCTTATTTTGCCAATTTCTCTTAAATGATTAGTGTATCTATATCCAAAGTTTTAAAGTAATAAAGGATAAAAATAAAGATCAAGTTTTTTCTGATTTTAATTATCTACGTAACTTATCTGGAGGCTCAAGGGAAGAGTTTTGGTTTTTAGTAGAAGCCACTTTAAATCCTGGACTGCTCAGAAGAAAATGCAAATGGTGTTTTTAGAGAATCACAGGTTAAGGGCCAGGAGTTTGTCTCCCACACTATGGTAGTATCTGACTACATCAAGACCAGCAACTTCTTGTCACACCTGCTGATTTTTTGGCATGAAGAACATTAAGTGACTGAGTAACCAAAATAACTTGAGATTCTTGCTGTGTACCTATGTGGAACATTTTCTTCCTTAAAGCCAGTATCTCTAAACTTGCAATTTCAGAGTAACAGGGACAGAAAGCAAAAATTTTCCAGTTGGGTCCTTGAGCATGCAGATAAGCAGAGTCACATCTACTGCTGCCCTTCATTCTCAGGACTGTACACTCTACCTATAATGGACATCACATTATAGAATTATTATGTGTAGTGGTTTTTGACGTAGGGTATGCTCAGTGGCACCAAACAAGCCATTCCACTGTCCATCTATCCAGTGTAGAATAGAATACGGTGAACTGATCCATGGTCATGCACTCACTGCCACACCTCCTACGCTTATTCCAATGTGATCTTTTGCAAGATTTCCTTAGCAAATTAAACATTCTGTAAGCCTTTAGCCCATAGTGTTATCTGAGGCCCTGAACACAGGAAAGGCACTTCCAGGGTGAAATACGTATCGATTCAAATAGAAATGAATTGTCTTTCTTACTGAGACAGCCAGAGACCACCAGGTGAACAAACAGCAGGAGCACTCCTGGTCCTTCACTCAGGACCTGTTACCCATTAAAAGTAGGGTGTGTGTTCTTCCCCACCCCCTCATGTTCCCAAATAATCTTAGTAGCTTCAAAAACCAGGTACATCATTAGAGCCAGGATGCCTTCACCATAGCACCTCCAAGAATAAGGTAGATGCAATGCTCTTGAGACTCTTCTTGAAAATCTAGGAGCTATTTTTTCTTTCCATATTTTCAACAAAAATTCTCCTAAATTCCTCCTTTGATTTATAAATTCATTATTTAACATTTGCCGAACCATGATTCTGGTATACTTGGTAACATCTGGAGACTTGTACAGGGATCTGAGATTAATAGAGAGATGTTAAATTCCAAGTAGTCATGCAGACAAAGCCAATGATGAATACAACAAACTCCTTTTAACAAGGTCCACCGTATCAACCTCCTGAAGAGAGCACATGCCTGCTAAACCCCAACATGACATCCAACAAAGACTCTTTAGATTAGTTCTCTGGAGAAAGTTCCCTACTGCCATCCCCCGTACATCAATTTCTTCCAGCATGAAGAAGCTAGATTAGGTCTGTGCCCATTCTCCTTTAATGGCAGCTAAGGATATTTCTTCAGAATGGGGAAAGTATGGAAAGTAGTTAGCATATGAGGGATGCAGCTACCTAAGAGAAGGGCCTGAAATGGACATGGATAATCAGCCACACTAACGGGAATTTAAATAATAGTGAACTGGGACCTTGGGCAAGAATAAACTTTCTCAGGCATCATGTAATCAGTCCACTCCCTCCTAAAGAGACATGCAGTCACCTGATTCTGAGTTCCTGTGTTCTGAGGAAATTATAGTGTAATTTACAGTATAAAATGTTTATTTTCTCTAAAATCCCAGCTTACTGTAAACACTATGTGGAAAAACTGGGTTGGAAAGTCTGAGCTGCAATTTTTTTAACTTCACAGAGCCAACCATGACAGTGTCCACCAAACACGTAAGCAATTCCTATGACCTGCTTACCAATAAGTGACTCTACATTGAGAGGCCACAGTGAAACCCACTCAGGATGTCCCCTGAAAATTCAGGTGCTGTACTTCCAACAAAAACTCTCCTGACCTCCCCTACCCAAAAGAATAAGCTAGATGAGAAAATAAAATTCATGGAGATTGAAATAGAAAGGCTAGGGCAAACTGGACAGCTAACTGAGTGAAATGTGTTAAAGTCATGAAAATCCATGTTTAATAAGTAAGTTGAAGGAGACGTTTCCTACAAAGAGAAGACATTTGTAAAACACTGGACTCAAAATGGCTCTAAGCTTATGGTTCTTGAGCATTGCCCATGGGATCAACTAGAAAGCTATACTTTCCATTTTTCACGCACATATGGATACAACCAATCAAAAGAACCATTTCTGACCCTTCATTCATATTTTCTGAGATGCCAAGTGAGTTTTACAGTAGGATAATTTACATGTGGCATGAAGTCAAGTGGGCTTTTGATAAGACAATTGTTCCAAAACCATATTTATAGGAAGAGGAGGCAAATCCAAGTATTTCAGATATTAAAACTCCTTCATTTTATCTTCAAGGCTACCCTAAACCTTTACACTGCCTGGCTCTCACCCTGTAGAGTGTATTTTGTTTTCTATATTCAGTAAATCTATACTCTCACTGCCTTTTTTGTGTGTCTTTGTCCATTCTTTATGTAGAACACCAAGGACACCTTATCCAGTAACATTTCTACAGATTCCCAATGGGTTGCTAAGAAAAAGACAACTTGTCACTTTCATCTTTCTTTTGTATCTGTTCCATTTATCATTTTAAAACTTTGGATCAGATTCCTGGTGAGTTGTGTACATAGGCAGATTAATCACATAGGCAGTGTCTAAAACTAGTGATGCAAGATTTATTAGCTCCCAATTTCCTAGCCTATCTCATCTTTATTCAAGACTAAGAACACCAAGATAAGAGATTTTCAGGGACATTCACCGATCAGCTTTTACCCCCTGGAATGGGTGCCTAACAGTCTCTAGTGGAGACAGGAGATTTGGGAGTGGTAAAGCTCCGTGGGGCAGTAAGTGTGACCTGTTAATTACAAAATCCCAGGACACAGTGCAGAATGGATTCCTGTATATAGACTTCTCATGAGAATTCAAGCAGGTTTTTCAATAAGATGGCCTAGACCTGATGTCAGCCTGAGGAGTGGGTGATACAAAAAAGACAGTTGCCACTGAGTTTTTGCCACTGTGTTTGCTCTTGCGTGGTGGCCCACCCACACACTGTAGGATAGACTTCTTTTGTCACTTTTAGTAGACACAAACTCACCCTGCAGAGCCTATTTCTTTTCCTACCTCTAAAAAAACTGCTACCATTTATGCTTGTCTTGACCAATTCTTTACTTAGGACAGAAAGAACGTAGGCCTGGCAAGTGTGAGGTGGTGAGTTCAATTCCTGGAACAGAAAGAAAGAAAGAAAGAAAGAAAGAAAGAAAGAAAGAAAGAAAGAAAGAAAGAAAGATGAAAGAAAGAAAGAAAGAAAGAAAGAAAGAAAGAAAGAAAGAACCTACAAACCACCTCCAGGGATTTCCAATATCTTAAAACCTGGTAACAGCGATTGCCCTAAACCTGGTTACCTAAGCTATCAGCAGAGCTTCTGTAAAACTGAGACTGTCCTCAAACAGAAGCAATCATGTCATGGAAGCGGAAAGATTCTTGCCCTAGAATAAATTACTGTACGGTTGCGGGCGAAGAAAACTCCAGTCAGCTCCTCATGCATCATCAATGCCTGCCCTAAGGGCAGCTCCCAGTCAGAGGTTGTATGTATATCTCATACTCCACCTTCCGGGCAGAGGTAGCCAGGCTGTCATGGACGCCTCTCCATGTTCTTGGAATAAAGGCTATTTTTTACTTTGTATTTTCTCTCTCTCTCTCTCTTTTTTTTATCGGTACCAGGGGTCGAACTCATGCCCGCCTGCTTGCAAGGCAGGTGCTTATGCAGCTGAGCTAAATCCCCAGCCCCTATTTTTATCATGCTGAAAACTCTTTCAGAAGCTAGTTTGCCTTCCTGAGCCATAAAGACCACTGGAGCTGTGAAACCAGAACTAAGATAACAGACCCTAGCCTATCTTAGCAGTCTTATTGAAACTGGCCTCTTCCTTTTGTTGAGGGGCAAGTTTGATTTTCTTCATTAGAGCTGTGTCTTCAGATTTTCTCTTCAAGCTGAAATTCTTCCATATTTCCTCTTATTTTCCACTAAAGCTCTTGTCTGTAGACTTGTGCTATTGCTTCAGTTTTAATTTCCATTACCAAGGAAGTAAAGGCCCATGCTAGTCAGAAACATTTCCAGAGCCTTTGTTTTTGCTTTAATAAAAAGTGTTCTTTGAGATTTACCATTGAAAATGGTCATCTGTTAGTTTTTCCAGCTTTACATAAGAAATTCACTGAAGTATGCTCTGTTCTAGGAGATATTTGATTCCTTTTTCCACTGCCTCCAACAAAGGTGCTTGCATTTATTTCTCATTTAACGTTGACACCACTTTCACTGTCTCAGAGCCATTCTAAAAGTTTGTCCCAGGGCCCGCTAAATTCTGTATCCCAAGCAGATTTTATGTTCTTCTTCCCCTGTATCCATTTCTCTCAGAATCTAATTCCATGGGTTCTCACTCAGCTCTACAGGAACATACTGACCAGGCTCTCATTCCTGTAAGGAGTTCCTCCTTTAGTTGTAAGAATTCAATATTTTCTGGAGCTTTACTACTTTTATGCTTAAATGCTGAGCCTGATCTTCATTTTTATTTCCAGCGGCAGGATATCAGAGTTGCATTCTACTCCTGAAAGGAAATCTTCTGGTCTTTATGTTTAGCTGGTTAATTGTTAATGACTCTTAGCCTTTGCTTGTCTTCCTCAAGTGCATCTTTTGCCCCTAGTAACAGTCATCTTTTTTTTTTTTTTTTTTTTTTTTTTTTTTTTTTTTTTTTGTCTTTTTCCTTTTTATCAGTACCGGGGATCGAACTCACGACTGCCTGCTTGCAAGGCAGGTGCTTATGCCGCTGAGCTAAATCCCCAGCCCCAGTAACAGTCATCTTATTCCACTGTCTTTAGAATTATTAAATTTCTTCTTGCTGTTCAAGTACTGATTCCATTGTCCTAGCCAGTGCATTTCTTTCTAAAGTAATCCCATCCCAGAGAGTATCAACAATCCCAATGTCATTGTATGCCCCTCTTCATCCGTGTTCTACCAAGCACCCATGGTGGGCTCTCTTTCCAGCCAGCTGATGGTTGACTTACCTTTAGGGAGTGCTTTCTTTCATCATTCCTGCCATCTAGGTTTCCTGGGAAGTAAACTCTGCAGAGTGAAGCAGCAGGACTGAGCACAGAGCTGCTTGACTGTGCTACCCCTACAATAAGCACTTGCAGCTGTTGTTTTTTGAAGCCTCTGGATGAATCTAAAGAATTTTCCCAAAGTTGGGAGTGGTGACTAGTGTCATTGGCTGTGAGCTGTCCCAGGCAAGAGAAAATGACCTTGGATGAAGTGCCTCCCTCATTAGAGGATAATTGCAAAGAGAAGGGCTTAAGTAGAAGCAGTCAGCTATCGGCCTTCTGTAGCACATCAAGTGCACTTACAGACAAGATTAAAATTGTGGCGACAGAAATGAATCATTTAAAAAATTTCTCCGTAGAAAATGCCAATACCCTTTGAGTTCATTAGATCAGACTGAGTAATTCGTCCAGAGGAATTTTCCCCACCTGAAGAATGACCCACGCCTCCCACAAAACAAATAAAGATCTGGGAGTGGCTTGCTCAGCGCAGTTGCTGATAAAGTCCAGTCAACCTCTTGTCTGTCCCCACGTATTCAACCTAGACCAAAAGAAGGCAGGTCAGAGTGTGTGCTTTAGGTTTCCTGTAGCACAACAAGCAAGGAAACTGTACAACGCAAATAAATGAATCAAGGCTTGTACACTTCTGCTTAGAGATTTGTCACTATATATCACTGACAGTAAGAAATGTAAATCTGACTATAAAGGCCTTGAGAAATAACTTGCAACTTTACAGAAAACTGATGAAAAGCAACTTTTAGTACACTTAAAAGAGAATACTTTCTAAAAAATCCTATTTGGCCAGCAAATTTCTGGGTTCCATTCATCTGCTGTTGTTCTCTGAATCTTTTTGCCACTGCTGCAAAACTGTGAAAGACTCTGCTCCCCATCTTTTGGCTTTGTTACTTTCCTTGTCAACTATATATGCAAATTAATTTTTGTATGTAAATCAGGTTAGTGTTCTCTAGAGTGTTTTTTGTTGGCCTTTTCTACTTACTTTGCTGTGTTTGGACTTGGGATTGTTTTCTTTTGTTTTGTTTTGATTTGTTTTGTGGTTGGGAGTCAAGCCAAGGACTTCACTCATGCTAGGTAAGCATACTACCACTGAGCTACATTCTTTTTTAAAATTTTTTTTATTTTAAAGAGAGTAAAATTAAACACAACAGAGCAAAACAGATCATAAGAAAACAATTTAAGAAACACAGATTTTAAAAAAAGATTAAGATAAAAGAGGACATAACACGGGTCAGAACAGAACAATTTAAGCAATACAGTATTTCACCACAAGACAACCCAACATGAGAGTAGTTACAATAGTGTCTCTTTCCTTGAAATATTTGAGTATACCTTCCATATACTATAGTATCAAACATAATAAGACAATGTAAAACCATTCAAGAGAATGAAAGTATTACAGAGTATTCAGAACCAACTAATAGAAAATGAACAAGGATTACTATATTATCTCCTTGTCTATAAAAATTTTTGTTTATACTATCACATATAATAAAATCCAACAAGACACAACATGATAAAACCAATGGAGACAGAAGAACAAAAACTTGGTGAGACTTCAAAATAAGATGATATTAAATCATCACTAGCTATTAGCTGTTCATACCATCACAGCAATAAAATCAAACAACCGAGAATAAAACTATTCCAACTAATGAATGAAAACATAAGGCTTCAAAGAAATATAATGGGGAATCATTATTACCACATACTTTTATGTATTCTTACCATTTCTTACACTAGGGAAACTATTCAGTATTTATACATGTGACTTTATGTCGCTTATGAGTATAGTCTCAAGCTGCATCCATTTATTTATAAATATCTCAATGTGATCATTCTTTATAACTGAGTAGTACTCCATTGTATAAAAAAACCACATCTTTTTTTTTAAAGGAAAAAAAAAACCAAAACAATATAAGGGTACAAGTAATACAGAATTTCAAAAAAAAAACAGTAAGAAATCACTAGTTAATAGATTACATATTGTCATCTTAGAGATAGTTGTTCAAGTTACAGAATTAAAGCATACAAAATGGACATTCAAACAGTGAGACTGCAAACAGTTGGGCTCGATGATCCAACAAAAACTTAGTAATATGGTCATATATCTTACACATCTAAATACACTTGCAGTTGTATCCTTTAGAGCACTTTTTTCCCCTCTCTTTTTCTACAACAACACTTACACATTTTGGGTTTTACTACTCCCATACTTCTTATTACTTTTTTTGGAAGAAAATAAAACCAAATATGACAAAACAAAGCAGTCAATCAAATCAAAGGATAGGTATAGCACATGATATAAAAACAGAATACAAGGTAATCAACAATGGTTACCATAATGCCTCTTGCTACCTTAAAAAGAATTGCCTATATCATTAGGTATAATAAAATTGAACAAAACAGTACAGAACAAGACCAATAAAACCTAAACATTGTAAACATTACAGGACTTCAAAAGAAGATAATAGTCAAACCAGAATGGGCATCATAGTGAGTCTTATTGCCTTCAAAGTAGTTGCCTATATCCTTAAACTTGATACTATCAAACAGAACAGAATAGATTAAAATCAGTCAAAACAAGATGGTGGGAGCAATACAGGGCTTCAAATCAAGTTAATAGGAAATCAAAGTGGGTTACTATAATATATCCTGCTAATTTTTTTGCTTTTTTCCCTTAATCAAAAAAATAATAAAAAAATAAATAATTTTTTTTAAAAAAGGGGGAGATTGAGATAAAAGAGGATATAACAACATAACAATACAGGTCAAAGTATAACAATTTCAGCAACCTAGTGCTTCTCCACAAGGTAACCCGACTTAATAGTAGTTACCATAGTGTCTCTTTCCTTGAAATATTTGAATATAACTTTGTATACTATGACTTCAAACAAATCAAGGCAGTGTGAAACCATTCAAGAGGATGAAAGTATTACAGGGTACTTAGAACCAGCTAACGGAAAATGAACAATGATTTCTATATTATCTCTTTTCCTATAAAAATTTTTGTTTACACTATCACATATAATAAAATCCAGTAAGATACAACATGTTAAAACCGGTGGAGACAGAAGAACAAAAACTTTATGGGACTTCAAAACAAGATGATATTAAATCAGCACTAGCTATTATGATGTCTTGTTTTCTTCAAAGTAGTTGTTCTTATTATCACAGGCAATAAAATCAAACAGCCCAGAATAAAGCCATTCCAATTAATGAATGAAAACTTTATAAGTCTTCAAAGCCACATAATGGGGGATCATGATTACCACATACTTTTATATATTTGAATCATTTCTTACAATAGGGAAACTATTTGGTATTCATACATGTGAGTTTGATTTATTTCACTTGTGAGTATGGTCTCAAGCTGCGTCCATTTATTTATAAATATCTCAATGTGATCCTTCTTTATAGCTGAGTAGTACTGCATTGTATAAAAATACCACAACTTTTTTATCCATTCCTCAGTTGATGGACACTTAGGTTGTTTCCAAGGTCTGGCTATTACAAATTGTGCTGCTATAAACATGGGTGCACATATATCACTGTGTTATGATGTTTTCAGTTCTTCTGGGAATATGCCTAGAAGTGGAACAGCTGGAACAAATGGGACTTCCAATCCCAGCTTTTTGAGAAATCTCCAGACTGACCTCCACAATGGTTGTACCAGTCTACACTCCCACCAACAGTGCAGGAGAGTTTCTGTTTCCCCACAGCCTCTCCAGAATTTGTTGTTGGTAGTTTTCTTGATCCTGGCCATTCTTTCAGGAGTGAGATGGAATCTCAGTGTGGTTTTAATTTGCATTTCTCTAATGAGTAATGATGATGAACATTTTTTCATGCACTTATTTTCCATTTGTATTTCTTCGTCTGAGAAGTGTGTATTCATCTCAGATGCCCATTTTTGGATTGGATCTTTGAATTTTGGGGGTCTGATTTTTTTTAATTCTTTATATGTTTTAGACAGAAGTCCTTTGTCTGAGGGACAGTTCACTAAGAATTTTTCCCAGTTTGTGGGGTTTCTTTTCACTATGCTGGGGATTTCTTTTGACATGTAGAAGGTTTTTTTTTTTTTTTTTTTTTTTTTTTTTTTTTTTTTTTTTTTATTTAAGAGGAAAAAGAGAAAAACACAAAACAAACCAAAGCGGCGTAAGGGTGCACGCAATACAGAACTACAAAACAAAACAAAACAAAACAAAACAAAAAACCATAACAGTAAGAAATTACCTGCTAGTAGATTACACACTATTTTCTTGAAAATAGTTCCTCAAATCACAGTATCAAAGAACACAAGGTGGACATTCAAACAGGGAGACTGCAAACAGCTGTGTTCAATGTTCCAAAAACATTGATAAAGTCAGCTATTTAACACCCCCAAACACACTTGCTGTTATATCCGTTAGAGCTCCTTTTCTTTTTTTTTTTTTTTCCCTCTCTTTTTTACAACAAAATTTACACCTCTTGGATTTTATTACTCCTTAGTGCTTATTACTTTCTTTGGGGGGGGGGGAAGAATACAGTCAAATATGGCAAAACAAAGCTGTCAGTCAATACCAAGGATAGACGTAGCACATGGTGTAGAACAGAGTACAAGTTTATCCACAATGGTTATCAACGTTGTCCCTTGTTTCCTTAAAAAGAATTGTCTATCTTATTAGATATTATAAAGTTGGACAAAACAGTAGAGAACAAGACCAATAAAACTTAGGCATTGTAAACATTACAGGACTTCCAAAGAAGACAATAGTCAAACCAGAATGGGTATCTTAGTGAATCTTATTGACTTCAAAGTAGTTGCCTATGTCTTCAAACTTGATACTATCATATAGAATGGAACAGAGTCTAATCAGTCAAAATAAGATCGTGGGAGTACTACAGGACTTCAAAACAAGTTAATAGGAAATCGAAAAGAGTTACTATTTATATATCCTAATTTTTTTGAATTTTTTCTTTAATTAAGACAAACATAAGAAATGACTAAATAATTTTTTTTGAAACAATAAGGGGGAGATTGAGATAAAACAGGACATAACAATATAACAATAGAGGTCACAGCATGACTGTTTCAATAACCTAGTACTTCACCTTATAACCTGACTTAATAGTAGTTACCATAGTGTCTTTTTCCTTGAAATATTTGGGTAAGACTTCATATACTCTAGCTTCAAATATTTTCATATCAAGAAGCCCAGAATAAAACCTTTCTAATTAATGAGTGAAAACTTTATAAGGCTTCAAGGCCACCTAATGGGGAATCATGATTACCACATATTTTTATATATTTGAATCATTACTTACATTAGGGAAACTATTCGGTATTCACACATGCGAGATTGATTTATTTCACTTATGAGTATGGTCTCAAGCTGTG